GAGATTGCATGCTAGTTCAACCATGTCATCCAAACAGTTCTGGAGATTAGTCAGAAGAACAGTTAAGAAGAAAGGGGTACTTTCAGCTGTTAAGGATGGACATGGGAGGTTAGCTACAGATAGAGCACGAATAGAGGAGATAGTTTTGGAAGAACTGGCAAAAATCTTCTCTGGACAGCGGTCAGCAATATTCTCTCATAGAGGACAACAGCTCATCAAAGAAATGGATGTAAAACAGCTGCTTGGTTGGCAAGAATGGATGAAAGACTCAGTAGACAGCAATGCCCATGAAAGAAAAGTATGCAGATGGACTTCTGAAGCAGAGGTCAAGTCAGTTATTGATAAAATGAAGCTACAGAGGGTGCCAGGAGTTGACAATGTAACGGTAGCCATGCTTAAATACGCAGGTCCAGGTTTTATAAGCTTGTTAACTGAACTCGTTAACAACATTTTCCTGGAGGGACCAGTACCAGAGGCTTTGTTAGTGGGACGAATGACACTGATTGATAAAAAGTCAACCTCACTACTAGTATCACAAAAGCGTCCATTGACAGCATGTGTAATTTTGAGTGTAATCACAAAAATTATGCATGGGAGAATGGACAAAATCTGTGAGGAGAATGGGCATTTTGGTAAAGTGCAGTATGGGTTCCGGTCAGGCCGGTCAACATCAGACTGTGTGTTTATGTTGTTGGCAGCGGTTAGGAAGGCAAAAAGGAAGGGACACACAGTGACCATAGCTTTTTGTGACATTGCAAAGGCATATGATTCAGTAAACCCCAAACTGCTTTACACTAAGTTAGACACCATTAGATTTGGTGGAAGAGTTAAGTCACTTATTCAATCTATGTACTATAATGACAGTGTAAGAGTAAGGATAAAAGGAGGCTTGACGGCGCCACTCTGGTTCACCAAAGGCGTTAAACAAGGGTGCAAATTATCACCCCTTCTTTTCTCACTCTACATGGCAGGGCTTGGAGAGAGGCTACATGCTGTGAAGGAAGGTGTAAACTTCATTGGACAAGTGATATCTGCATTATTTATTGCGGACAATTTGGTCCTGATCTCAAGGACAAGGGTTAGAGGAATGGAACACATGTTGAAGGAGGTGTCAAGGTTCTGTAAAGGAGTGTATATGAAGTTGTCTATTGAGAAAACAGTAATCCTTTCCAACGGCCAGGTAGGGCAGGTTTGGAAAGTAGAACCGGGAACAACAGACCTTGAAGCAACTCTGGTTGGTAAATACCTAGGAGTAGACATACAGGTTAAAGGAAGAAACCTTGTCAAGCCTAGAGAGGAGTGTATGTTACAAATTGTGCAAAATTACGCTAACATTATCATTTGCATTACAAGAGCTGGACTAAACCGTGCGCTGGTGGCACATACACTATGGGAAAGATGTGCAATCCCATCAGTTCTATATGCTGTGGAGGCCTTGTTGGTAACTGATGGAGTAGTTGACAAACTAGACAGCATCCAACACCAAGTAGCACGTTTTATACTACAACTACTAAGATCAACTTCCAAGGTAGCAGGATACATGGATGCGGGTTTCAAACCAATGAAGGATAGGATAAGGGAACGCGTAGCAGTATATGTGTGGGATATTCTGCATAAGAAATTCAACTCTATTCTTACCAATGTATTCGACGGGGCGACCGCAGCACACGACCCGTGGGCGAGAATGGTTGGGGACCTGGTGTCTGTATTGGGTATTGAAGCTTTTGACGGTCCCAAATCTAGGTTGAAGAAGAGGCTCACCGAAGTAGCAGTACAAGGGGTTTTGAGGCAAAAGAAGCGGTTTGTGTCTCTAAACTGCATGCCAACCCCTCAAGTCTGGTTCAAACTTCAGCCACACGTATGTGATAGCAAAGCAGGGGGTTTGCTGAACAGACTTAGAGCGGGAGATGCGGGGCTAGGCAACCGCCGCCCAAACATCCATGGCTCTACAACAAAGTGGTGTCCACTTTGTCTTAATAAAGGGTTAGTTAGCCACCTTTTGGAAAATCATGTTGTCGTATCTTGTCAGGCAGTAGCCTATGAAAGGTCAGCTTCAGGATTGGGAGTACTCATGACCGATTCGACCCGGAGCTGTAAGACAGTCCTCACTAGGATCTTAGGGGGTGACAATGCCTCTAGAGAAGTGCTTCTGAAGAGAGCGGATAAGCTTACCCTGTTGCTGGACAGGTGGATGGAACTGGCAGGAGCACTTTAATCAACGGTATCCTCTATTCTTCACCTAAAGCGTGACAGATACCAACCAACCAATGGTTTTTAATTGGTTAGCCAACTGACTGGAATGTATCTACTTTATTTCTCTAGATTTGGACTAGATGATGGGGATTTAAAGGTCTAGTTAGAACAGGGGAGGGGCAGTGCACCCTGCTGCCTGGGCGGTCTTGGGGGCCCACAATGGGGTCTCTTGCAGATTTCACTTCCTTATGATTCCTTATGGCATGTGGTTTACCATATACATTCTTTCATGTTGAGCTCCACTGAGCCTCTGGCATTTGATTCTTATTTGAAGTTTATCATAGGTAGCCATACTTAATCAATTGTTGTGTCCCTAACAATATAGTTACACATCATCAGATATTTATGTGTATCCCTCTTCTGGGTTAAAACTAATTCGAACTGTATAACATGGTATCAACCAGTATTTATTTCATAAAAAGGCACATTAAGTGTTATTGTTCTATAATTAGAGCTATTACTAGGATAGTAGAGTAGAGTGCCCTTAAGCGCTATAGCTAAAGAGCTGACTGAAAATTAGATCAATTTTGAATATAATTTGTATACAGTTTCTATTTTATGAACAAATATCCAATGCTATCATCAAATTATAATTCCCAATAACCTATCAGGAAAAAGAACTTTATCTACAAAAGCCAAAAAAGCAAATATCATTAAGAAGGAAACCATAAAGCCTGTTTACTAATACTGTGACAAATTATAAAAAATAAAAACAACCCGAAACTATACAATTAAAAATGAAAAATAATCCGAAGTGAAGAAGAAGTAAGATCCGCTCCAGGGGACAACATCTCTTGTCTCTGAAAATGGTGCTAATTTCCTGTTAATCCACGTTTTGATCACCTGTAGTATACCAAACCTCAATTGCACAAAAGATAATCATCCGGTATTGATATGCATTATCATTCAGCATTGGGCTTGATCCAAAATTAAGCATCCATTAAATCATTCACATTAAGCAATAACATCAATATATAAACAATGATTAGTGATGGAATAAATTTAACTTGCCAAAAAGGTTAAATTCTTTAAAAGTTGAGTTAAATACGTAATTTATTGAAGTTACCTTTTAGCTAGATAGGAAGAAATAGCTAATATAACATAACATAAAAGCATTAGTCTGATAAATCAAAAGCCCTTTCTCTCCCCCCCCCCCTGTTGAATCCTAGAAACATAAAAACCAAGACAATCCATCAATACACATTAATTTGATTATTTATTAAAAATAGCCTGTCTTTGGAGTAGCAAAATCCAAGAAGCAGGCCATGGTGATTTACATATTTCAGTTCTCAGTACTATTGCCATTCATCAGCTAATCAGCTAGATAGGGTTCAGAATAAAATCCTTGTATTTCTCTTCCTGGCATGAAATCAGGGAACTCTTGAGGATGAAACCTGTTGGAAGCATCGGTTTTTTCCTTTTTGACTTCTTCAGCCTAACCCCATCAGGGAAATTGAACCTGATGAGGGTCTACAACGATTTCAGTGGGCTTGGAATCAGGACATAAACGCCTTTCATCTAGTCTTCGTACTTCTGTGTCTGGCTCTCGAGTTGTTTAATGGGATAAACTTCCTTGGCATGTTGAGGAAAGATAAGGTTGCTGTGTTGATAAAAAAGCCAATCCAACTTTGTCCTTATGATTATGTGCAGAAAAATCTACCAATGCCGTTACACCTCTATAGGAGCGGTTTGATCCTGATCCGGCAACACCCCTCATCCCTGAACAGGTTCATATTGTTAAAGGAGTCCAGGGCCAGGACCTGGCTGCCACAGCGTCGGCTACTTGATTAACAAGAGAAGCCAGCTTGTCCTCCAACTCTTCCTGGTTTCTGCCAAGATTGAACAGGCGGACCTGTCGGGAATGGGCAAATTTGCAAAGCAAATAATTATAGACTATGGAACTGCATCCCCAGGTAAAGTTTTTGCCCAGAAACTGCGTAGTCAGTCCCCTGGCACTTGCGAGATTTTCTGGAGTTCTTCTCGCACAATCTCTTTTTGTCCATACCTTTCGTCAAACTCCTAACAGTCTTCATGATTGTATAAGCTTTGGAGCTTAATTCCTGGTCCAGTGCATTATACTCCAAGAGGCAACAACTATGTAAGTGTTGTTGCAGTCATGTCCAAGCCTTTTTTATGAACAATAATAAATATCTGTCTGTTCTAAGACCTCATGATAACCCATTCAGGGGCAGGACATTGTTAATTACAGAATCTGGACTGGAACTGCCAGCTGAATCAGAATAAATTAAAGAGTGTCCCCCGACAAACCTAACCTCTTCACAAAAGTTGACCTGAGTTCCTCAAGACTAGAGGCTGTTCCTAGCTGGGAGTACCAGGGAGAATCAAATGCTCCAGTACAGCAGCATGACAATAACTTGTCCTTTACCTTGGACCATTTCTCAGTCAGCTCTACTTGGGCTTCATTAGAAAAATAGGAGAGATTGTCCTTCAATACCCGGGCTGGAGTAGATTTCATAAAACTCTGAATATCCATGCCGCTGTTATCAACATTCTTGCGCTTTACTCCTCTCCTCGCAACCATTTCTCTGTTTTTCTTCTTGTCTGCCATCTTGCTCTTGGGAATGATTTGATTTTGCCTGATAAAATGTTCACTGGACAATAATTATTGGTGCAGTTTCTCATGCAATTATTGTTCATTTATCCGCAATTGGTTCTCTTGTCAAGCAAAATAAGCTTGGTCGTTTTAGTTAAAAATAAACCATTTATTATAAAGTATGTATATTTAGGGAGAGAAACCGTTCTCCCAAATGTTTGAAGAAGAGGTTCATGAGTTCAGAAGAGTTACTCAGGGTATGGACGAGAGTAAGGTAAATCAAACTAAATACTTTAGACAAACCTGGACATTTTTTGGGAAAATATCGAAAATGTTCACCTCCAATAATGATATTCCTCTTCTATAAAAAAAAGCTAGTAATACAAAGGTTTAAACCCTTCTTTATTCAATCTTAAACAAAGTGAAATTTATCTCCATTTTTTATTTTGTATTCATAATTTCTTGTCCTTAAAAAAATAAAGAGTGTATTGAAAAGAAACTTGGGAATAAAATAAACTTTTGATTTTTATTGGGTTTAATTCTAGGTTCTGAGTATGATCCGGGATCCTTGCCAGGAGGCGGAAGTTTCAGACGAGGATTAAACCTGGCTTCAACATTAAACTGATCTTAAGCCTGGGTTTTGTTTAATCTCCTCCCTGGTTTCAGGGTTTGTCTGATCCTGGTTTCAGGGTTTGTCTGATCCTGGTTTCAGGGTTTGTCTGTCCTAGTTTCAGGGTTGTCCGTCCTGGTTTCAGGGTTTGTCTGTCCTGGTTTCAGGATTTGTCTTATCATGATTTCAGGATTTGGCTGCTCCAGGTTTCAGGGTTTGTTTAGTAATGGTTTAGTATATCATGGCTCAAGAACGAATATAATCCTGGCTTCAAATTTATCTTCGCTTAACATTATGATTTATCATGATTTAAATGTTGGATTTGACGTGAACCTAGTTTTGTTGATTTTTTTTTGTATTTGATCCTGATACTTGAATTAACAATCAACCCAATTTCAAACTTTTTTGCTTTAAAAAATGCGGACAAATCCTGGAAATCAGGACGGATCATGGAAACCAGGACAGATCTTAGAAACTGGGCAGTGTCCTAGAATCCAGGACGGATCCTGAATCCAGAACGGATCCTGAATCCAGGACGGATTGGTTCAGTATCTCGCCTCACAGTTCAAACACTCAGTACCTTGCCCAGTCTTCTCTTTAAAACGCTATCAATGAATCAAACCTGGGATTAAACTTAAATCAACTTTTAATAGTTCTACAATTAGACATATTACGGTCTAATAGCATCAATCAATTATCTCAAGCATCCTCTGCTATCCCAGTAGTTTGTTATTTCTTTAACATTAATTATTCTTGAAAAAGAAAACGTTTTGAAATGTTTTGAAAACCAAAAGTTAATAATAACTATGCAAATTGCTTTGTACAGAATTAATAATGATTTTGTTACCTTTGTGCTTTATTAGTTATGACTCTTGTTAGTTGTATCTAATGTTCACTTTATTTTAAACTCTCTTTTGTTGAAATCTCGATTTTCGAGAATTTATTATATTTGCGTGTTGAACTGTATAAAGTACTTTTAAGAAAGAATGTTACAATAATGAAAGGATGAGTGGGGCCAGAGCTGGGGGTGGGATTACTCCAGTACCCCTCCAGGAGCTGCAGGACGGAGAAACCTCCGACTGTTCTGGCGATGACTTGGAGAAGGATTTTCAACATCAGCCCGTGTGTGAGATTATAGAAGGAGAAGGTTTTATCAGTTTCCCCACCGACCTGGAGCTTAAAGATGAGAAGCTAACCAAACCCAATCTCAAGAATCGTGATTTTATGGGTACGTATTTTTTTCGGGTTTCTTACATTTTATTAATCTCAGTTTTAAGTTAGTAAGTTCGAGTCTAAGGGTTTAAGTTGAATCTTAATCTAAATCCTAGTATTCAAGTCTAGGGGTTTAAGTGGAATCCAATCCTAAATCCTTGTACTCGAGTCTAGGGGTTTAAGTGGAATCCAATCCTAAATCCTTGTACTCGAGTCTAGGGGGTTTAAAAAGGGAAGGAAACCCTAGTGCAAAACAGGAAAAATATCTGTTTTAAAAAACTATAATGTGTGAAAAGTAAAAAATCTAGTTTTTTAGTCTTTAGTCATTAATTTTGACTCTTTTTGAGTCTTTTAAGTCAAAAAAAGTTTTCGCCTTTGGCGCGATTTTTTGCTCCTAATTATGAATTTTTTTGTTCCCAAAAAATCTTGCCCCCCTCCCCCCCTAACTTCAATCTTGTATCCGCCCCTGGTTTCAGTGGAATCTCAAAAACCCTGGCATTCGAGTCTAGGAGTTTATGTGAAATCTAATCCTAAATTCTTATATTCGAGTCTAGGGGTTTAAGTGGAATCTAGTCCTAAAATAAACCATGAATCCAAATATTATAAAATATTTGCACATTTAACATGATTGTGCGTTGCTAATTAATATTCTTTAACGCACCCTAAGTCTTAGTTTTTGTATTTTTATTTTGAGTTTTAAATAATTATGTTTTGTTTAGTAAAACTTGAATGTGGGTTGGATACTAAACCTGACTTGTTGGAACCAATTGATCCAGGTATAGAGATTAACAAAGGATTGAAACACAAATTTTGAAATTATTTGATTTATTTTATATTTTCTACAGTGCATAGGATCAATTTAATTTGTATGCGGATCCGGATCCGCACTGGGGGAAAAAAATGGATCCGGATCCAGGTCGTGAACATTCAGTTAAGATTTATTGATTTTTAAACGGAAGAAGAGTTTTGGAATTATTTTCTGACTTTTTTTATTTCTTTTTATGCAACAACTTGGTGAACTATTCAGAAATAAAGGACATTTTTGTATAATCGATCTTTTTTTCAACAGTTCAGACGAGTTTTGAGATAAAAGTATTTTTTTGGCAGTTTTTGGTTGATATTTTGACCGTGGATCCGCATGTTTTTACGGGTCCAGTTCAGGTTTCAGAAAGCCGAAATTTTGCGGATCTAACGGATCCTGATCTTAAGCACTGAATATTTCTTAAGGCATATAATTTGATGTTTTCCAGATGACCAGATTGAATCAGATTTATCAGATTCGTCAGATTCGGACGGAGACACAGACCCTGTTAATCAACCGAAGAGACGAAGGTATTTAGATTATGAAGGGTATATTTATTTTCGAAAAATACCCCCCCGCCCTTACTTACTGGGAGGAAGGGTGGGGGGAGCTTCATTGATACTATGGGNGGGGGGAGGGAATTACAAATGATACGTTAAATTTATGCCCGAAAATTCATCTATTTTTCCTGGTGCAGCGAATAGACTTCTAAAAATTACCTAACTTCAGGGGATAATATATAATTTTCAAAGAAATCACACCCCTGTAGACTAGTTTAATTAACTGGTTTTGGGCCCTAAATTTTGGATTTCATTTTGGATGTTTTCTGGATGAGGATGAACGTCTAGTTCAATAGAAATCTGAAATACAGAAAATAAGAAATAGTTATTGTGATTTGATCTGATTAGATCAGAGTTATAAACTAATGGAGTTAAAAAATTTTTACTTTCCCCTTTTTCAGGATAGTTCACACTGAAGTTACACCATCTTTTTTCCATCAGGAACATTTTCTTCAATACCAGGACGGAGCAGGACGGTTCGAGGACGTTACAGGTGTCCGTGCAGGACGGTTCGAGGACGGCGTTGTGTTTGAGACTAGTATTCCCGGAGTGTCCTGTGTCGAAGGTCGTCCTCGAACCTATTTCTGCACACACTCCCAGTGCACCTACTCATCAAACCATTCCGGGCACGTGAAACGGCACGTGATGTCCGTCCATGATAAAGTAAGATTTCCCTGTCCTCATTGTGATCATCAGTCGACAACCATCTATCATTTAAAGAGACACATACAGTGCCGTCACGAGGGCAATATTGAGCAGATAAGCTGTGAACTCTGTAACTATAGTTGCAGGAAACGAGAAAATTTGAAGAAACATTTTGAAAAAGTTCACGGTCGCTTGCTGAAGCCGCTGAACAAAGCAGAGTTGAAACTCTGTGATAAATGTGATTACATGACGACGGATTCTGCGGATTTGAAAGTGCACAAAAAGAGTGAGCATCCTAAGGAAGCGAAGGACCCCACGACTAAAGGTGGTGTGTTTATTAAAGATACAGAGAGTACAATAACTATCAGTGAGGACGACGGAAGATATTACTGCGACATGTGCGACTACAGTTCGGCTCTAAGAGGCTCCGTCAGTCGACATATCCGCAGCGTTCATCAAGGTTTACGTTTTCCTTGTGATCAGTGTGAATATCAGGCGACAAGAAGTCACCATCTGAAGAGGCACAAAGAGAGATTGCATTTGATTAAAGTCACATAACCCAGTTCAGTTATTTATTTACAATTGTATATTATTGACTCATTTAGTTATTTAATTTGATTATTAATTTTAAAGTGAATGTCGGCAATTAGTTAAATGCAATGAAAGTAAATTCGGATCTTTCTAATATTTCTTTAACTTGTTTTAAAATTCTCAGAAACTCCCTTTTAAAGGAATGGCGGCGTAATTTGATTTGACTCCATTCATAATGTGTCATGTCCGATTTACATCAGTACCTTTTAAAGAACCATTGTCTGATACAGAATGAATAAGATATCTATGTTTTTTGCTGAAAATTAAAAAATTTAACTATGGTTCTTAATAAAAGTGACGAGCGGATTTATGCTGCAAAGACAATGAAGAAAATGTACAGAATTATCTCTTTATTGGTCGATTTAGATCTTTTATGGTTACTCAGATTAAGGAATTTAAAGAGTTCAGTCGTGAATAAAGCATATTAAAGATATATTAGATTTAATTAGAAAGTTTATTTTCTAGCTTTTAAGTCCTAAGTCTCTAGTTTGTTGATCCCACTTGTGGTTTAAAATTATGTAATTTTTAAATTTATTTAATTTAGTTTTTTAGTTGTTTTTATTGTGTCAGAAGATTCACTGTGTGAACTTAAATAAATTTTGTATTGTTAACGTTATTGTATCTGTTCGCTTTTATTCTTCTAAATTCTCTTATTATAAGTCGGAATTTAATACTGAAGTAAGTATCTATATATATATATATTTAAAGTAGTGTTGTGTGTTTGTATGTCCGATCATAACACAGGAACCCCTTGACCGATTTGCCTCAAATTTAGATTGGGGAACTCGTGAGAACCACAGTAATGTTTTTAGTTCTGTGATTCTAATTTAATTGGGTCGTTTTTAAATAGAAAAATCGCTAAAATCGTAATTTAAGACCAAGCGCGGGTAAACAGTTGGATTCTTGTCAATTTTAGTAAATTTACTCAAATTATTTTCTTATGGAAATTCTTTCGTCTTAATTTTAGGAGTGAAAATAAAGTTTTGATTTTAAATAATTGAAATATTATAATTCAGACTAAAGAATATTTGTTCAGCTTCCTTTAGTAAAATATTAGAACATGTATTTGAATTATAATGAGAAATAATTTACTTTATGTTAAAGTTTATTTAGATAATAGAACATGTATTTAAGATAAAATAAGATAATCCTATGAGGAAAAAAATGTAATAATAAAGATTTTGCGTGATAACAACAAATCTGAGAAAACTTCAAAAAATTCAAAATGAAATAAAATCCAAGATTGAAAGTATGGAAATGAGATTGAAACTGAAATTCCAAATATATTTCAAGAAGAGCAGAAATTCCTTGGCAAACTTCTATTTCCTACTGGTAAACTTATTGATTCGTTCGATTACATCAAGATTAAATTTGAAATAAAATTCGTAAATATAAATGCACTTCTTATTCGGGATGAATATAAAGTCTGGATTTACAAACATTATTTCAATCCTTACAATAGAAAATATTTTTAAATTGTATTGCCAAGGTGAAATGTTGGATGTGCATCAGCCTTGCCACTGGACTGCAATACAGTATTTATGAATTATTTTATTTTCAAAGCCAAATATGTTTGTAAATAACACGTTTCACTTTTATTCTATCCTATTCTAAAGCTTGGTAACTAGCCACCACTACCCTAGGATGATCATTTTAGGTATTTTATCCGATAGTTCTAAGAAGGTTTGTTTGGGAGGATTTTTCTTGCCTGGTTCATTGGATCCATAATTTACCAGATTCTTAATTCAATATAGAACTGGGATGTATATGTATAGGAGTAACCCGTCCATAGGCTGATGATGAAGAAATCTTGGATGGCCAACTACGAAAGTAGAACATATTCATTTAAAATTATTTCATTCCTTCTATTCGATTTCTACCCAGATATCACAAAGGTCATCTGAAGAAACTAGACGCATTCACTGATAAATTTGTAAAAAAAATGGACTGGATTACCACCCTGTGCAACAAATGCTGCTCTACACTTGAAACCTGGCCTAGACATCACTTCAATATCCACCCTGTACAAAACAACTATGACGCAAGCATACACTAGGATAAGAATACTGGGTGATGAAACAGTTAACTCTGCCTTACAATCTAAATTAGACAGGGAAAAAAATTGGCTCTGCAAAAATCCCATCACAGATTTTGCAGAAGAAATGTTTCAACAAGCCACATTAGAGAACTATGGTCAAGCAGAAATGCCCCCATTGAAACGATGGGAGGGGGGGGGGTAGGGTTATCTAGGACTGACCCTATAAAAATTGAAAAAAATTAATAATCATTTGAAAACTCGCCGATTTTCCGCACACTTTGAACTACTGCTGTCATAGTCCTCCATTAATACCATTCATCCTTGCATTTAATCCTTTAAACAACCCCATGTCGTTTAAGCGGGAAAATTTAAAGCTTAGCTTTAAATTCTGCTACGTTGAATATTAAAAAATATGAAAAGCATTTGGTTGCAGAGAAAAGGGGATTAGAAAATTGAGTGTGAGGCGAGTGTTCATTTTCTTATCTTAACAAACTAAGAGCTCAAATTACAAAATAGAGAATGCAAATATTAAGAGCAATCTAAATGAAATCTGATCTTACAATTATGCATTGCATAAAGACCCATGTGCACCCAGTACAAACAATCTTTAATTTATCCTTCCTTATCTCTAGAACTACCAATCAACTTTTTTCAGATCAGACAAAAATATTAACTATAGTGATGTTCGAGAATTGGGTCCGTCCTAGTATACGATTTTTGAACCCCCCCTCCCCTCTCTTATCAATTTTGTACATGACCTAGATTTCCAACTATTAATTTCAACAAAAAATATTTATAATTTATTATTTCAGGGTTAGGTTAGGACAGGACAGGACAATTTTTGGACCAAGCGTATAATCGTATATTAGGATAATACCGGAGAATTGAGTCCGAAAATTTCTGAAATATTAATGAAAGATTTCACCCCTGCTACGGGGAAACACCGTCAAAAATGTTTTTGTGTTAACTTTTTGTACTGACCCGGCGGGGTGGTGGCTTGAGTCGTTCGAGCTACCGGTCCGGTACTACTCAGCTGTGTCTTCGTGCTTAGCAGTGTAGTAAACTGTAAAGCAGCAGGGTTGCCATGAAGCCTTCTAGAAGGCTACTTTTCATAAATGTAGCCTATAATCAGATTTCAGAATATTTCCTTTTGCATTGGTAGCCACTTCTTATTGAATTCTTGGCCTAAAAGTAGACTTGAGGCTCCACTGAAAGCAAGAGCGCAAGATGGAAACGCCTCAACACGGAAATGCCTCAAAAAACAGAATCATAAAACTAATTTAATGTCGTCTTCTCTCAACTTTAAATTAAAAAAACTATATTATAACGATTTTCACAGCCATAGCCGCAGCGCTCGCCCTCCTTGCCTGTTCTAGCCGCAGCGCTCGGCCCCCCTAGCGTGTCCTAGTCGCAGCGTTCGGTCCCCCTAGCCCATCCTAGCCGCAGCACTCAGCCCCCTCCGTAGCCTACGTCGCAACCTAACACACCCTAAATTAATGGTAAAATAATTGTTAAAATATTTTTTTAATGAGAGAAGACGACATTAAATTAGTTTTATGAGTCCGTTTTTTGAGACATTTCCGTGTTGAGGCATTTCCATGTCACCCCTTTGATGTGCTATGAATACGCCTCATCACGGAAATGCCTCAAAAAAAACGGAAACCCCTCAAAAGTTTTTTTTTGAGTTGTTTCCGAGGTTTCTGGGAGAAATACGGAAATACCTCAAAACCCAGTTTTTGAGTGATTTCCTCTTTATTTTGAGGCGTACGTTTGCTAAAATATTTGAGCTGTGTCCGCTTTTTAGCTGACTAATATTTTTGAGGGATTTTCTAATACTTTTGAAGAATTTCACAATATTTTTGAGGCATTTCCGCAAAATTTTTGAGACGTTTCCGTATATTTTTAAACTCTATTTATAGTTGAGGTGTTTCCTCTTTTTTTAGGCATTTCCGAAAAATTATTGAGGGGTTTCCGTATTTTTAAAAATAGGTGAGGTGTTACTGGTTTTTTTTTGAGGCGTTTCCACAAAATGTTTGAAGGGTTTCCGTATTTTTAAAAACTCTTTTTAGTTGAGGTGTTTCCTCTTTTTTTAGGCGTTTCCACAAATTATTGAGGGGTTTCTGTATTTTTAAAAACTCTAGTTCAGGTGTTCCCTTTTATGAGGCGTTTTCGCAAACTATTGAGGTGTTTCCGTATTTCTAAAAATTCTATTTATTTGAGGGGTTTCCTTTGGTTTTTGAAGCGTTTCCGCAAAATTTTTGATGGATTTCCATATTTTTAAAAACTCCTTTTAGTTTAAATCTTGTTAAAGTTCAATATAAATCATATCATAGTAATTCATTTTTACATATCTAATCAAATAAAATAAAGTTTGTGATTATCTATTCCTTTTTGAGTGCTTACTAATAATTTAATAAATCCTTTTATTACCTGTTTAATGAATTTTTACAGTGATAACCAGAAAATTCTGAAACAGGAAGATGACTTTTAAACTCAAGTGAGGACTTAAACAAGTTCAATGAACATGCATTAGACATAGCAATTGTACAGTGTAAATGGTGTTTTGCAAAGTTACAAGTAAAAATATTTGCTTTGTTACAAAACACTTAAGTATTACTTTAATGTTGTCTTTCTATTCCATTGTTTTCTGGTTATCTCTGTATGAAACATTTAGATTAAGGATTCTCCTCCTTAATATGCACAAAAATAGCAATTGCATCAGACTCTTAATTAAGATTTTTATTTTCAAAGACCATTTTTTATATAACAATAAAGAGGCGTTTCTGGTTTTTAGAATAAGAAAGAAAAAAATAAAAAATAATCATTTAAGTGAAATTTGAGTGACAATTTATAATCGTCAAGTTGGGAGTATTTTTTCCTATTCAATTTCAGAATTGTTTTTTCTTAATTATTAAATATAACGACAAAAAATGTAAACAAAATTCTACAGTAAACTAATTAGTTGTTTAGGAACAGGTTGAGAAAATAAAATAAGATATATCATCGAAAATAAGTAATCTTGTTCAATTATTAGTTTCTATAATTTCCTCATCATTCTAGTTTCTCAAATTATTCTCAAAGATTTTCTGCAGATTTTCTGGAATTACTAGAAAATAATTCAATATAATGATGAACATGAAATAATTGATTCTAGCATTGATTTCTTGACAAATTTCTTTTGAACAAATGTTCCTAAACATCTAGATAGTTGTATAATTTATACTTTATTTTAAGTCGTCGTTATTTAGTAAATTAAAAACATATTATGAAAAGTATGATTTTGAACGTCGACTTTGTGTTCAAACTCAAGATTTACATATCTTTAAAAAGTTTTATATGTCTCAAATGAATCCTAAAGAATTATACTCAGTTCAACTTGACATCGCCACTCTGTCCCTTTAAAAGTAAAAAATATATATATTTGTCCACAACACTGCATACTCATTTAAACTACTTGACATAGCCGGTCTGTCCCTTTAAGAAAAGATTAAAAAAATGTTGGCCTGCGGCACCCGCACCACATTATTTCTCACAATGAAAATGTTTATTAAAACTCCAAATCTTGCTAAGACTTTCTGAAAGGTTGCAAATCGCCCATGCTTCTCATACCTCAAGACTCTAAGAATTAAGTTTTTATTAGTTGAAATCAACCAAAGAAAATTTGAAAATTTGTAGTCTAAACCTTTTTAACATTGATCATTGATCTTGAACATAACTGACTGACTGTAAAGAGCTTAGTTCACTTAATGCATGCTTTTATACTTATTGTTCAAGTCCAAGAGTACAAAAAGCATCAAAAAGTAGCTCAGAGAGAGGACTGAAAGTAGCCTTAAAAAACTCTCAATTTAGCCTTGGCCTTCTTTTCAAACCTGGCAACCCGGTACAGCAGCTTCATGTGTTCAGCACCCCCCCNGCTGTTTCTCCTCTCTCGAAACCTGAACCCCGGGATTGAAATGATGAATTCTAACAGTCGAATACGTTCTTCTCTGAACGTACTAACTGTAAAGTGCAACTTTAAAAGTTGAAAACCTTTTTTTTCGGTTATTACTTGACAATATTCATAAGTATATATAAGTGTTAAGTAATATTTAAAGCATAAACGAATTGATTCGGATTCACAACCCGATCTGTAGTATAAAGGTTTTAATAATGTAATTTAAGGACGCCACTTTAAATTACTCATTTTAAATGTAATTTTTGGGCGAGATAATTTTTATTGTTAAAATGGGATTTGTTTAAATAATATCTGGACTGCACGCTGCAGCTAGCACATGTCAGAGCACCGTAGCCTGGACAATGGACATATACTGCTGAAATGGTGCTGCGGCTAGAACAGGCTTGGGGCTGGGCGCTATGGCCTTAAAATAACGATGACTATAATGCCCACGTTAATCACATTTAAGATACATGTACAAAATTGAATAGATAGGGGCTGCAGTTGAAGTTGTGCCTAGTAACATTTCATAAAACCAAGCTATTTATTTTGTTGATCATTATGGAATATAATTATTAGATTTTACTTTTCAGAAGAATCTTAAGTCTGGATTAAACTGTTTAAACACAATGCCAGGTGCAGAAGGAGAAGCAAGGGGAGCTTCTAATGGAGCTTCAGATGGATATTCTAATGGAGCTTCAGATGGATATTCTAATGGAGCTTCTGATGGATTTGATACAGATACATCAGAGGCAGGAGCAAGCTCGGACGGAAGAGATTATGGACAAGGAAGAGGGGATAATAGAGGAGGAAGAGAAGATAATAGAGGAGGAAGAGGAGATAATAGAGGAGGAAGAGGAGATAATAGAGTAGGAAGATGGGACAATAGAGGGGGAAGAGGAGGTAATAGAGGAAGAAGAGGGGACAATGGAGGAGGAAGAGGGGACAATAGAGGAGGAAGAGGGGACAATAGAGGAGGAATAGGGGACAATAGATGAGGAAGAGGGGGAAATAGAGGAGGAAGATGGGGTATGTTCAGAGAGGAAAGAGACAACGGAAACTGGATTATCGGTACAATTGTTGGATTAACAGAAGGAATAACTAATTCTGTAGTTTTTTATTTTGTTCGTGCCAACCAAAACCATGTTGGGAGGGATATAAGAATGCATATCTTTAAACTCCCCGTTGTGGATAGATTCTTCAGACTGGAGAATGGAACAGAGTTAGAGTACACCATTCATTTACGCAATGACAAGCCTGAGGTTGGGAGAATGAATATATTTAGGAGAAACTACCGAAAAAATACCTTGCTCCAGGTCATGGAGAACACTATAGAGAGGTGTGAGAGGGAGGTTGAGCTTACGCCTATGCTGCGTTCTCTTCACGCCTGGGCGTTCTTGGGTAATTCAAGATAATATTATAAAGGGTTGTAAAAGTGTTACCTATTCTTATGATAAGCAACCTTTTATAAAATTGCTGATATGAATCGCAATTTAACTATTTTTAATATCTAAGATAATTAAACGAAGGACGACAATAAATCATATAGTTTCTGATGAGTTTTGAATAAAAGATTTTACAAAGAAGATTCCAGTAGCTTTGGCTCGCCCAAAAGCAAATAATGCAGGATTCAAAGGTTAAATAAAAACAGTTTTGAGGCCTCTATTCTGTTCTAATAGTTTAATCAATAAGCCCTGCATTAAAGGCTGCCACGCATTTTATGGCGGACAAAGTATTTCTGAATAAGTTTTAATGTTTCTTTGTTATGAACCGATTTCTATGTTTCACTTTTTGTTCTTAAACATATATTATTTAATTGTTAGTTCTCGAGGTTTGAACTTTTAAATGTGTAACTTTAATCCTACCATAGATTGTTCCTCTCCGTTTCAGAAGTATTCCAATCCTTCTTAACTACGTTATATATATTATTAACACTAAGATTTTCGTTTAGCTATGTATTTCAGTCCAAGGGAAAAATTTTGACAATATTAATCATAGAAATGATTAGTTATAAAATATAAAATAATTACAAATATAGAACTTAATATTTAAATAAAAGTATAAACAATCTGATTTTACAATATATATATATATCTATCTTTACTTAATACTATTGGATTTCAACCTCTATGAATCAGTTTAGGGTGAATAGATAAACGATAATTACGGATATTGACAGAACAAATAGTTACAAATAAACTGAGTTATTACCTAGATTTTCCAATTTGTTTCTTCAAAGATACACTTCAAAATCACTGGGCCATTTTACGATAAATACAGATCTGAGAGCAAAGATCTAGGATTCAGATTCATCAAACATTACTGAGGAGCTGTCTACTGTTCCTAATGTTGTATCTGAGGATAATTGGTTTCACGCTTGGTTTCCTAATCCTTCAGTGTTAATTAGTTTGTGTTTGTTGTTCTTGAATCTTCTCTGCCACATAATTGGTACGGTTTTATTATTGTTATGTTTTAAACCCTTATACTTCTTTAACTTTGGGTTTTTTTGTTAGGTCTATGTTTGTTAGTTCGGCGTGGAAGTTCTGTTGCACGTAGAGAGACTTCATATACTCGATTTTCTGGTGAACGGCGCCATAGGTTTATAGAGGTTCCTGTTGAGGCTGATGAGGAGACTCGAGTCTGGTATGCTAGAAATCCTCGGAGATGAACGGCGCCATGGGTTTACTGAGGTTCCTGGTAAGGCTGAGGTAGAAGCTCGAGTCTGGTATGCTAGAAATCCTCGGAGATGCGAGGACTGTTCCCCCGTGCTAGAGGACAAGGGCAGGACATGAGGACCGGAATCTGAAGGAGAATGCGTACAAAGATGTACAACTGGAAGTGTAGACAGAGAATGCAAATAGGAAGGAAGGAAGGAAACAGGGGACAAAGTAGAGAAACCGTAATAATGTGAAAGAGAATGAAAGAGATGCAGTTTTGAGATATTCGTAAGGACAGAATAAAATTCTTAAATATTGAAGGGTTGAAAACTTGAAGTAAGGTAGGTCAGGAGCGATGGAGATAAATGTAATGATAGATAGAAATACAGGGGTAAATAAACACGTATAATAAATAAAAAGGAAATTGTATTGCGTCATAAGTTTTGTTTTATAAAAGTGTGATAATGGGTTTAGGGACAAAAAAATGCGTTAGTATTATTTAAAAGGATAACAATAATGTGTCATAAAATTTGTTAATAAAAGTGGTATAAGAGGTTTGGGACAAATAATACAACGGTAAGTGAAAGGAGATTAGAAGTAAAAGTTAAATGGAAAAAAAGGGGGGGGGGGGGAGAGATGCGTAAGAGTAAGTGCAAGGTTATATGAATGGTCTGTGAGAACAGAGGGGGGGGGGGATGAACGAAAGGAACGGGGGAGGGGTGAGTGAAAAAATAAACCTTAAACAGGTGGTATTTCTTACAGACCGTGAATGAAAATTGTTTACAATATTGACGCAATTTTAAGAACAAAATTAATAAATATGGGAAAAAGGATTAAAATAAGAATTGAAGACAACTGTGGGAAGAGAAGGTAAACAGCTTAGCAAAGGAACGTTCGGTTCATGAACTGGTTTTCTGAAGAATTTTTCTCATAAAAATTGGCGTGAGAATTTTTGGTAGAATTCGGCGGGAGTCGCGGGAGAAATTACTGTCACTCGGGAATCAGTTATCCGTGGGAAGTGGAGGCTGATAGATCGCGTAGAAGGAATTGATACTTCTGAATTATCAGTGCAGACATTTTCAATATAAAATTGTGAGAAATATATTTGAAAGATAAACGTGAAAATGTAGTATTGTAACTAAATGGGAAAGAAATGTAATTTGTAATATGGGAGAAGGTATGTTTTACAATTACATCGTTTATTTTCTTTATTTAATGTTACTCAAACTAAAAGTAAAATGATAAAGTTATTGTAATCGCCATTGTGTAAGAAAAGTAAAAAGTTTTTCTGTTTGCAAGTTTTAAAGAAAATTAAATTAATCATTTTGGATTGTATATTCAAAGATATTAGAGTTGTAATAGTGATATATATATATTCTTTCTAAATTTTATATTTTCCTGTAATAAAGTATGTGTTTCAGAGCATAATGAGGAGGGGGGTCATTGAACCAGAGCGTTCTGAACAGGGCTGGAGCAGCAGAGCAAACCTTGAGCGTGGTGACCACCGTCGTGAGCAGCGTCACAAAGCAGGACATGTAGATGATAGTGGAGAGTGTGAAAGAAACCATGACGGAGATGGTGGAGTACGCAACTGGACTGGAGAAGGTTGGAGATTGAGCTGGAGTGGCGGGAAAGATTCAGACTGAATTATTGGGAAGCATGTAACAAGAGCAAGAAATGCAAAAAAAATGTAGATAATTAAAGCAAATAATGTTCCGGCTGAGGCGGAGCTTATTAGGTTGCGGTATCAGGCTCGGAGCAGACTGGAGCAGACGATACAGGTTGAAAGCTGAGTATTGGAGAAGGTGCTCATGCAGCTGAAGAGGTGTGTGAGAAGGTGGAGGGATAAGTACAGATATTAAAGGAAAATGAGGGTGAAGGCGCAGAGATGTACTATATAGGACTCCTAGTGGCGGCGGAGGTTTGCAGGTTCGGCGAAGGGAGGCGGATATGATAGACCTGGGAGATCCGACTAGGTTGGGAACACGGCAAGGATTATAAAAGAAGAAGGGGTAAAATTCAGTGAGCTAAGAAGAAATAAGAAAATTTGTCAAAATATGTATTGTGAGATCCACTGCATTACAAAGAATTTGTAAATTGAAATTGTTAGTCGTCGAAAGTTGAAACAAAGAAGTGTGAGTTAAATCAGTATTTAATGTAACACTGGATAAATGATAAATTTTGCATTCGAGTTTTTACCATAGTGTTTATTTGATTGAAAAAAAAGTTATAATGTCGATAAAAGACATTTTCGAGTTTGCATTACATTTTTCAGTTCGTTTTTAAAAGAAAATGAAAAGTGATATTAATAGTTTTGCAATGATTAAATCAGTAAACGTAAACCTGTTAATATTTTGAATTGAATTAAATTTAAAAAAATGTCGAATTTTATACTGCTGAAAAATTTTATTGTAATTTGAATAAAGACAGAAAGGTATGATTTTGTATATGTAGTTTAGGTACCTGTTTAATCAATATGAAGAAAAGGGAGACAGAGAAAGAGTAGAAAAGGAAGGAAAGAAAAGAACATTTTGAAATTTAAGAAGAGAAAGGTAGGAAAGGTAGAAAATAATTGGTGGAAGGGAAAATACCGGTGAAAGGAGAAAGGTATTGGGAAGTGGGGAAAGGAAGATTAAGAAATATAAAGGCGAGAGGATAGGAATAAGATGGCATGAAATGTGAAGGAAAAGGGGAGGAAAAAGGACAGCAGGATAAAAGGTAGAAAGTAAACTTGGAAGGACAAGAGAAGAAGGATAAAACAGAAACGAGAAAAGGGAAAGAGAAAGCAATATTCAGGGATATTTGGAAAAGGAGAGACAGAGGGAGGAATGTAGGGAAAGGCAAGGAGAAATGGAAGATGAAAGGAAAGTTAATCAAGGGAGAATGAGGCGGGCAAAAACGAAAAGGAAGTGAAAGGAAATGACGAAAGTTAAAGGGTTGAACGACAGATAAGGAAGAATTTATAGTGTTGAAGTTTTAGCTATTGCAGGAGAAAGGTGGGAAAGGAAATAATGCGGAGTAGAGGGGAGAAAGGATAGGGGAAAAGAAAAGGGAAAAAGTTTTAAAAAATTAAGACAGAATTGGGAAAGGGAGAAAGTTAGAAAATATGTTGCTTTGAGATTCGAGGGATAGAAATAAGATCGGAACAGAAAAATATTTTGACAGAAATTATGGAAAGGAGAATGGTATGGAAACAAAAAAGAATGGAAAAATGGAGAAGAGAACGAAAAGATATAAAAGGAAATATGAGAAAATATCAAAAGTAAAGTTGGAGAAGGGAGGAAGGAGAGAAAAGTTTTAACAAGCAAGTTTGGAGAAGTAGTTGAAAGGATAAACATAAGCCTTGAGAAGGGAAAGGAAGTGAAGGAAAGTAGAAGAAGAAAGGAAAATAGGACGAAAGGAGGGAAAGGGAAAAATTGAAAATGAGAGTAGAAAAGAAGGAAATGAAAAACAAGTGGAAACAGGAAAGGAAAATGTCGACTTAAGAAAGGAAAAAAAAAGAGAAGAAAAGGGAATAAGTCATGAACTAAACGAAGGGAGGTATACAGGAGGAAAGTAAAGAAGAAAAAATAAAAAGGGAAAAGAGGGGGAAATGGAAAGAAATCTAAGTCAATGGCAAGGAAGTGAAAAAAAATAAACCTGAAAAAGGGGTTATGAAAAAGAGGAAAAGTTTTATAGGGAGAAGGAAGTGTGATTTAAAAGAACAGCGTGAGAAGAGGGAGAAAGTAAATTGGGAAGGTTCAGGGAAGAATGAGAAAACAAATGTGAAAAGGTGGAAAACGAAAGGGATAAAAGGGAAAGAGAAATTAGTTATGAGTGTATTCGGAAATGTATTAAAGGAAAACCCAGAAAGGAAAGAAGAAAGTGACAATGAACGGAAGGGTAAGAAAGGGAGAATAAGGTGGGCAAAGAAGAAAAAAAAGAATGACAAAAGGAAAAGGGTAAACAATTTCAAAGGAAAATTGTATATGTAAAGTGTTATATTTTTTTTGAAAGGTAGGAAAGGAAGGAAGGTGGAGAAAGGAGACAAGAAACAAGAGAAGAGGGGAAAAAAATAGAAAAAACTGGGATTCAGGAGAAAAAAATAAGAAGGAGAAGATAGTGGAAAAGGGAAAGTATGAATTGATGTAGGACAGAATTAGGAAAGTGAAAATTAGAAAATCTTTATATTGATTAGAAAAGGAATAGGAAGAACAAAATGAAGAAGATTAAAAAAGGAAGAAAATTGAAGAACAGTAACATGAAGGGGGGGGGGCAACGTGAAATGGAAGGGGAGAAGGTTAAAAAGAAAGAGATACAGAGGAAATGAAAAAAGAGAGGTGGTAAAGGTAGGAAAGAAAAAGAAGTCATGGCAAGGAAACGAGAAGGAGAAGAAAAGTATAAAATGGATAGTGTCAAATTTGTCATATTTACACAGGAAGAAAAGAAAGGAGCATTTTATCAGAAGGAAATAGTGTTAAAGGAAGAAATGTACTACGGGAAGGGGGCAAAACCAACAGGAAATGAACAGAAGGGGAATTAAGATATGAAGTGTTAGTCAAAGGGAAGAATAAATACACTGGGTAAGAGATATGAAAGTAATAGGGTGAAAGGAAAGTAAAAATAAAAGGGCAAACAGATAAAGAGGATGGGGTAGGACATAGAAAGAGGAAGAAATAGACAGTGTTATTTGTAAAGGAAGAGGAAAAGGGAGTAAAGGAAGTGAAAGAGAAGAAAAAGGAGAGAGGAAAGAATGTGTAATAGTGGGATAAGAGAGACGGGAAGAGAAGAGAAATAACGGAAAGTGATAACGAAATTGAAAGTGTTCAGTGAAAGAATTTAGGGCAATAATTTAAAACTAATGGAGAAAGTTTGGAAAGGAAAAGTTATGTGGAGGAAAGTGCAGAAAGAAGAGAAATATTAAAAGTATGGAACGAAAGGGAAAGGACGAAGGGATGGCAAGAATGTATAAAAGGAATAAAGAAAAGAGCAGGAATAGACATGTCAGTATGAAAAACAATAAATGATAGGGGAAAGGAAATTTGAAACTGGAGGGGGGAGGAAAAGCACAGGGAGGAAAAATAAGCAAAAGGTTGAAAGTGTACGTATAGGTCAAAAAAGGAGGGCAATAGGAAGAAAAGGAAAGAAAGGGAAATTGGATGTTATGACGAATGTTTGTAGTAAGAGAAAGGATGAAAACGTAACCAGAGGAAGGGGAAATGAGCCAAAAGGACAAATTAGGGAAGGAGAACAGATAGTAGAAGGAATAATGAGCTGTCGGACAAGTGTAGATGGACATGAAAATACAAAGAAAGAGAGACGATAAAAGAACCGTGTAGAGAAGAAAAAAAAACATTATATTCCTGAGAAAAGAAAGGAAACAGATAGGAAAGAGATAAAAGATTATGAAAAATGAAAGACATAGAAAAACGTAAAGGAGAAAGGATGAGGAAAGAGTAGGAAGGGGAAAAGAAAGAGAAAGGAAAAAAAAATTGATAAAGAATGTTGTAAAGGTAAGAACGAAAGGTTGAGATTAACTCACGACAAGGAAGAAAAAAGAATAAGTCAGTAAGGAATGGTTATGAAGGGGGAGAAAAGGAAGGAATGGGACAAAAATTCCGGATGAGGATTAACAAATGGAGTGAACATAGTTGGAAAGGGAATGTTTGTACTGAATGAAGTCTTGAAGGAAGAGTGACAAATGCAAAGAAGTTGAAAGAAAAATGTTTGTTGAGGGAGGAAAGGTAGGACGAAAATAAGTTTCGAAGAGAAAGAAAAAACAAAAGGAGGAGAGAAATGAACAATGGAACATTGGAGAAATAAGAAAATGGCAGAAATATATACATTTATAGAAAGGACAGGAGAAAGAAAAGGTAAAGAAAGGAAAACGTACTGAGAAAGGAATAGGTGTAAATTTGGCAAGAACAAAAACGAAAATTAAATGGATTGAAAGATAACTTGTAAATTTTAACAATTTTTATTAGTAGGGTATTAAAAAGCCATTTATGAATGCAAAATGAGGAATGGTTATTAAGTTGTAAAACATTGAAAAAAAATGAAAAATAAGACGAGAACAGAAAAATGTAATTTTAGAAAGTCAAATTTGGAATTTTTATTTTAATTCGAGACATTTAAGATAAAATGACAAAAAACATGAAGAATATGAGAACAGGAAAATAAAACGAAATTTTCAGTAAAAAGAGTAGGTTAAGTAACAATAAACTGTAGTATTAATTTGCAAGACTGAGAATTTTTTAACTTTGTAATGTAGTCGAGTAAGTCGAGTAAAAAGAGGTTAACAGAATATAAATGATGAAAGTATGTCAGAGGAAAAAAAATTATTTTTCTCGCAGTATCTGTTTACTTGGATATTATCAAATTGTATTTTATTTTTTACCTGATAGACAGGATGACATACAGGTAATTAACCATTTAGGTGCAGAATTTATTTCAAATGTGAAATACATAAAAGAAGACAGAAACAAGGGATAGGGAAAAAAATGAAGTAAAAGACGAAAAGAAATTAGGTAACATATGATAAGTGAGCAAGGACATAATTTACGTAATATAAATACTCAAGTTGAAAAATGTAAGATTTTTATATAAAACACTCAGGATACTCAAGTGGGAAATAAAATTTTAAGCATTAAGTTTGTGAGTGTAACAAGGTGGGTCAAAAAGTATAAGCCATATTCAGAGAGAGTAATTTTACCTTAGAAACAATGCGAATGAGGGAAGGACCTTTGCTAGAGCAGGGGCGGAGAAAGTTGTTCTTGAGGAAGTATAGAAAGAACTTCTATTTGACAGGAAGCCGGGACTAGTATACCCTTGGGCGTCAGAACAGGGATCTCAATTTTTCAAAAAAAATCTACAAATTAAATTAGCACAATTAAAATGTTTACTATTTAATCCTGAGATACAGGAATCATTTATAAGTCATTCAGAGCATTGAGGTTGTGAGTGAGAACATAAGAAATAAATTAATGAATTGTCAAAGGCTCTATATGTTGTATATGTTTGGTAGGGAATATTTGAAATGTTTAAAGAGTGCCCAAAAAATGGGGTAGGATGGATGGGTATATATTTGCGGGTTTTAAAAATCAGAGTAACTAGGATAGAAATTACCTCTCATAGTTGATTGAAATGAAATCTGAGTTACATTAAGATTTCTCAGTGTAAGTGTGCGGGTGTGAGAAAACAGTAATTATTGGAAGGAAGTACTGAAAGAGATCAAGCCTGTGTTTTAAGAGGTAAGTCTTCATTGTCTGAACTGTCTGAACTATCTGACGTGGGGTTTGATACGGCTCGGGCTCGGGTTCTATATTGATGAGTATGAGATATCATATAATCAGGTTGAGGAACAGGTGATTTGGAAACTTTAGAGGGGAGAGAAGTAGGTATATAGAGTGAAGAGGTAATAGCATTTTTATCTTGAGACAAAGTTTGCAATGGTTGATGATTAGGTGAAATGTTGACATTTTCTACAAAAGTGGTGGCATCGGTAAGATTTGTAGGTTCTGCATCAAAAGTGGTGGCATCAGTGAGATTTCCAGCGTTTGTATTAAAAGCGGTGGCATTGGTGAGATTTTTAGGTTTTATATTAAAAGTGGTGGCATCAGTGGGAGTTGTAGCTTTATTATCAAAAGTGGTGGCATCGGACTGATTTGTTGGGAAAGATAGAGCGGGTAAGGTATTGTGTTGAGAATCTAAAGTATCATGAGGAGGTAAATGAAATATATCAGGGTGTAGGTCAAGACCTTGTGAAATCGGGATTTCAGCATGTTTTTGGATAATAGTCGAATCTAATTTATCCAGGTCAGCAAATTTATTTATTAGAACATTACAGACCTCAGAGAGAAGATGAGAAAAACTAGCATCTAGGCGGTTGTATTTTTTATCATCATCTTTTGCATAGACACCTTTAAAAGTGTCACATAAACGTTGGGTGACTAAAGTAGTGGGACGATCATTAATGATGATGTGAGGGTCATCACTATAGGTAGGTCTTAACGAAGGATTAACACCGGGAATAATGGAGCGATCTTTCACAAATATATAATCTCCAACATTGTAGGGTGTAGAGCTATGGGTTTTGTTAATTTTTTGTTGCAGTTCTGCTTTTCGGAGTTGAATTTCTTTTCTAATAAAAGACGTGATTTGATCCGTTTCTATCATTTTATCAGTCATTTGCGTTTTAAAATTTTGTAATAATGGGTAGACCTTTGATGAGGTTGGTTCCTGAAATGGAGAATCCGCAGATGGGGAGTTTTGACCATGTAACAAGGATAATGGGGAGAAACCGGTAGAAGGGTATGGAGTACAGTTTAACTGTTTAACCAAAATGGGCAGTAGATTGGTCCACGGGGCGTCAGGAAAATGAGAAAGTGTCTTTTTCAACAGATATTTCAAGGTTTTAAGCGAACTTTCAGCCTTTCCATTGGCTTGGGGATGAAGGGAACTGATTTGAACACGTTGTACTCTGAGCGTATGAAGTAGGGCCAGAAAATTTTTCTCTATGAAGCAAGGACCATTATCTGCTAGAAAATATTTCACTCTATGATTTTGAAAGATTCCATACTGGAAATGAAAGGCAACCGTAGTGGCTGTTTTATTTTTAAGCGGAAAACAGGTGATAAAGTTAGTAAGTGGGCATGCCATTATGAGGATGTGTGCATAACCATTTGACGGTGGTAAGGATTCTGCTAGATCAGCTACAACTGTTTCATATATATAAGAAGGTAAAGGGAAGCTTCCCATAAGGTGTTTTCTGGTTTGAGGGTTGGTTAATGCACATGGAAAGCATCTGGAACAGAGGTGTTTGATTTTATGTAATTTTCTGGGAAAGTAGAAGGGTGCAAGGAGACTCGACATTTTTACCACTCCTGCATGTGCATGTGCAAGGTGATGGTACGCTAAAAAGACTCCTTCATGGATCTAGAGAATTGTATCTAGGTACAGAGTTTAATAGTAAAGAAGACTGGATCTATAAAATTGTATCTAGGTACAGGATTTAATAGTAAAGAAGAATGGATCTAGAGAATTGTATCTAGGCACAGGGCGTTCATGAAAGGATTAGATCTAGAGAATTGTATCTAGGTACAGAGTTTAATGGTAAAGAAGAATGGATCTTGAGATTTGCATCTAGGTACAGAGTTTAGTAGTAAAGAAGAATGGATCTACAAAATCGTATCTAGGTACAGAGTTAATGATAAAGAAGAATGGATCTAGAAAACTGTATATAGGTACAGGGTTTAATAGTAAAGAAAAAAGGATCTTAAGAATTGCATCTAGGTACAGAGTATAGTAGTAAAGAAGGATTGGATCTAAAGAATTTTATCTAGTTTCAGAGTTTAATAGTAAAGAGTAATGGATCTAGAGAATTGTATCTAGGTACAGAGTTTAATAGTAAAGAAGAATGGGTCTAGAGAATTTCATCTAGGAAGAGAGTATAATAGTAAAGAAGACTGGATCTAGAGAATTGTATCTAGGTACAGAGTTTAATAGTAAGGAAGAATGGATCTAGAGAATCGTATCTAGGTACAGAGTTTAATAATAAAGAAGAATGGATCTAGAGAATTGTATCTAGGTACAGAGTTTAATAATAAGGAAGAATGGATCTAGAGAATTGTATCTAGGTACAGAGTTTAAAAGTAAGGAAGAAGGGATCTAGAGAATTGTCTCTAGGTAAATAGTTTAATAGTAAAGAAGAATGGATCTAGAGAATCGTATCTAGGTACAGAGTTTAATAGTAAAGAAGGATGGATCTAGAGAATTGTATAAAGGTACAGAGTTTAATAGTAAAGAAGAATGGATATAGAGCATTGTATCTAGGTACAGAGTTTAATAGAAAGGAAGAATGGATCTAGAGAATTGTCTCTAGGTACAGAGTTTAAAAGTAAAGAAGAATGGATTGAAAGAATTGTATCTAGGTTCAGAGTTTAATAGTAATGAAGAATGGATTGAAAACATTGTGTCTAGGTACAGGGTTTAATAGAAAAAAATATTGGATCTAGAGAACTGTATCTAGGTACAGAGTTTAATAGTAAGGACAAATTGATCTAGAGAATTATATTTAGGTACAGAATTTAATAGTAAAGAAGAATGGATCTAGAGAATTGTATCTAGGTACAAGGTTTAGTGGGAAAGAAGACTGAACTTAGAGAAGTGTGTCTAGGTACAGAGTTTAATAGTAAAGAAGAATGGATCTACAAAATCGTATCTAGGTACAGAGTTAAATAATAAAGAAGAATGGATCTAGAAAACTGTATTTAGGTACAGGGTTTAATAGTAAAGAAAAAAGGATCTTAAGAATTGCATCTAGGTACAGAGTATAGTAGTAAAGAAGGATTGGATCTAAAGAATTGTATCTAGGTTCAGAGTTTAATAGTAAAGAGTAATGGATCTAGAGAATTGTATCTAGGTACAGNGGTAAGAGTTGGTTTGGAGAAGAATTGAATCTAGGTAAGAGTTGGTTTGGAGAAGAATTGAATCTAGGTAAGAGTTGGTTTGGAGAAGAATTGAATCTAGGTAAGAGTTGGTTCGGAAAAGGTTCCATTTTAGTAAAAAGTTGGTTTAGAGAAGGATTTAACTTGGTTTGGAGCTGGTTCAGAGAAGGATTTGGGCTGGTTTAGAGTTGTGATACAAGTGTAATATTTGTCCAAAAAAAAGATTTAGAAAAAAGGAATTGAGTTTTTGACACAAACTCAGATTTTCTAATCTCTATATCTTTGTAACCCAATGCCGTAGACCTTAGATATTTCAAACTAATAATACTTATAGATAAAATAATCTAAGTTTAAAATATCAAAGGTTTGCACCATAAGGTTACAAAGATATTGGAATCAGAAGTTTTTAGCTTGTGGCAAAAATTCAATTCCTTTATTAGGTTTTTATGAAAAGCTAGGATGGTTGCCAGGGTAGTTAATTTGGTGCCATATTAATTTGACTAATCAGGCGCGCAACTAGGGGGGGGGGCAGATTAAGGGGGCATGCAAATGAATAGTGTCTATGAAATTTAGACTTGAGATCAACACTTTTTAACGGGAAAACAAGATTTAAAGAGAAAGATGATTAAAACAATTAAGATTATTTTATTTATTGAGTCCATATGTCCAGAAATTTCGACAATTTAAGAAAAGAGAAGGATGGATAGAACAGGTTTAGAGTTAAGTGAAGAGAAGGATGAATAGGAAGGGTTTAGGGTTAGGGAGAAGAGAAGTTTCTATAATGTCTTTCAAATATTCTATTACACCATTATATGACTGTATTTCCGGCAGAACCAACAATGTGACCCTGAAAAGGTTGTATTTAAAGAGTTTCTCATCCTTTGAATCTAGGTAAGAGTTGGTTCGGAAAAGGTTCCATTCTAGAATAAAATTGGTTTAGAGAAGGATTTAACTTGGTTTGGAGCTGGTACAAGTGTAATATTTGTCAAATAAAAGATTTAAAAAAAATGTTATCAGGTTTTTATGAAGAGCTAGGATGGTTTGAAGACATAATCTGTTATTAATTTGTAACAGTTGTCGCAGCGCTCGGCCCAGAAATTGTCTTTACCTAAAAAAACCCCACATATTAGCTATTACTTAATTGATTTGATAACTCTGGCTGCAGCGCTCGGCCCTCTAGCCTGTCCTAGCCGCACCACTCGGTCCAGAAATTTTCTTACCTTTAACCTAGCCCCACATATCGATTATACTAGGGACCCTAGCCTGTCCTAGCCACAGCACCCGACCCAAAAATTATCTTTCTACCTAACCCAACGATGAAATTTTTATTGAAGGGATGTAAAGATCCTGACTGGGGTGAGGAAGTAGGATGAGTAATATTTGTACTTTCATAAGGCGTTCTAATGAGAAAAGAACTTAAAGGAGTAACTTGTTTATTCGTTATAGGCAAAGGTTCAATTATATTCAGCGTCTTCATTGGAGCAGGCAAATTTTGGTACGGCAGTGCTTCTTGAATTATGGGCAAGGATGGCGGCAAAAGTTTTATATTATCTATTCCAACAATGTTACAATTTTCTATGGATTCGGTTTGGGCGTGTACTTTGCCCGTATAAACCTTATCGCTGAGATTGGTAACAAAAGCAGCTAGCGGAGTAGTAGACAGGGAGAATGCTTTAAATTTAGAGGGTATGACGTGAATGAGTGGATCTTTAGATTCTGATATCAGTACATGATCTCCTTTTTGTATATTTGACAAAGGATGAGGCGTAAATGGGACTATTCTAGTTTCTTGTGGATCCAAAGTTATGGTAGCAGAACAGGTCTCAATGTTTTCAGGAAATTCATAACGAGTTTCTATGTCAGCTTTCATTGGGCGAGTAATTTTGACAAAAGGTGTTTGACCGGTATAACCCATTATCATACCCATAGTTTCCATAGAATCTTGTCCGAAAACGAAACCATGAACCTTTTCTTGTCTATATACACTAAATGTAAGGTCAATGGCAGGTCCATATTTACTATGACTCCAAGGCAGAGTAATTTCATATAATATATTGATTTGTTCATCATTAAAAGTGACCACAGTGTGTGTTGAGGCAAATTTATATTTATTAATCTTTTGAGGCGTAAGAATTTTCTTTATTTCAGATTCATGTATAAGGGAAATATCAGCGCCATTATCCAAAAAGAAAGAGGATTTTGTCATTTTATTTGCATGCAGGTATAAGGATATATATTTTTTTCTTCCCTTTTCTTTGGACTACTGGGCGTTTGGGTGTCAAATAGGTAAACTTGGTTTGGTAAGGAGTTGCATAATCTCATTGTTTTGAGGATAGATGAGGCAGATATATTTAGAGCTTTAATAGCTAGATCATTAGTAGACGAGGGCCAGATTTGAGAATTTATAATAGATGCTTTGACTTGAGGGGATACAATATTATTTTTAGGTCTTCTCTTTCCTAATTTTTGCCTATTTCCTCCTGTGAGAGTTGGTGAAGTAAGTGAAGAGAAGGATTTTTGTGAGTTTTGATGTTTCTTTACTGGTGACCCTGACATGATGGCGTTCGTCTGTAATTGTCAGATGCTTTGAGTTTTATTTGGGGACCCTATATTTTGGGTTTTATTAAAGCAGTACTTAAGTGGATGGTATAACTTCTTATTAATTTTCTTCTCACATACCGTACAGGGAACCTGAGCAGGGACAACTGGGACGGTACGCCCCGGTTCATCGCGCATCTTGTAACAGCCTTCACTTGCTCGGTGGTTATTTTCTCCACATAATGAACAGTAGAGACTGTTCATATATGTGTTCTTAGGAACCCTATCGGGTTTATTTTGATAAGGAGTTCGGTTCAGGTTGTGCAGTTGAAGTCTGCGCATGGGTTGATGTTGAGGTCTAGAAGAAACATATGGTTCAATACGAAAGTTTCTTTGGGTACGGTTTCCAGTAGGTACCCATTATGTCTGATGTCTTCATTAATTTGTGTGTGATAAGGGTTAAGATATGCCATCAGGTCAGTATATAGAGCAATTTTTCCTTGTTGCGCTGCTACGGCGATAAGTCTATTATAAGCTGTATTCACAATGGTGGAACTGGTGTTAGGTAAACTTTGTATGAGTCCAAAACAAGCCTCGGAGTTAGAATAGGATTTTCGCAAATCTCCTTCAGGGAATATCCTAGCTGCTGCGGTAGCAAGTTCCATGATATGACTTTGACCTCGGTTGATAGTCGAGTTTTGAGAGATTTTGAAACATAATAATTCTTCTTTAGCTCGTTCCGGTTTCATAGTGTTGTCATGCATCAACATGAGTTTATGATAGATACCGCCCACATTATCTCCTTCTTGGATGAGGTTTCTCAGCATACGGTGGGCTGCTGAGGTGGTGGAGAGCAGCATCCGTTCTTTAAATTCATCTTCAGAGAGATTGAGTTTTTCTTGAGCAACGTTCATGGCGTGAATCCATTCTGTGATAGGGGGAGAGGATCCTCCATGATCTCCAGAGAAACGTTGTCTGCCTTGAGGAAAAAGTTTGTTTGCTTCTACTTGACGTCCAACGGTTAGTAGGGTAGGAGTAGGTGAGAAACGTGTTGGGCAACGTATGAGTGGATTATACATATGGAAACTCAAAGATTGTCCATGGAGAGTTTCTTGGAGTTCCTTGTTAGACTTTTCAATTTCAGTTTTCAATTGGGACTCATTGACAGAGACATGATCTTGAAAGGCTTTACATAAATCAGCAATGGGTATTCGGTCAGCAGAGGATTTAGAAATATCAAGCATCTTGTTGTAATTTGTGCCCATGTGGACAACAAATTTTCCCAAAGGGTTAACCAAAGTTTTAGAGATGTCATCTTGTCCTAGTAGATTGCGTAGAACTTCTTTCAGCTCTTCTTCAGTTAAGTAGACAGCTACATCCTCAGTATAGGATACTTCTTCTTTATGTGTGCTGGGTTCTGATATAGATTCCACACTGGAGGTTTTAGAAGAATGCTTTGATCCTTTATTAAAATGCATCTTACATGAAGGGTTTTCTGTGTTTTCTAACCTAGATTAATTTTTAGTACTGCAAAGCAGCGAGCTTAATTGTTAAATATGTGTTTTAGGTGTCACAAAGAAAATGATGTTTGATTTTTGTTATTCTAATACTAATTATGTTATGCAATATTATGGTGTTTCTAAATTTTCAAGAAAATTCTATCTTTTATAAAGTATAAGTTATATTCCTAATAAATAGGTGCGTCAGACGTTATATTGGCCGTGTTGACTTAAATGAGATTATATATATATTTTTAAGTTTAAACTATCTGTATTGTATTAATATTTACGCCACGTTTTCTCTCTAATCTAGGGTTTATGTTATGTAATCCAATAGATAGATATATATATGGTTAGTTGGTTAAGTACAATTTTATTGAATCCTTTATATTTAGTACAATATGTGTATCTGAAATTGTGTTCTTTTGTGTTTCTATTTTCTACTATGTGTAATATTTGTGTATTTGTGTTCTAGTATATGCCTTTAGATATATGATGATGTAATGTGAGCAGCACTGTATTCATGTATAAAAATCTGTAATATATTGAAACAATGGTTGAGTAAAATGCGGAGTTTAAAAGATATCAATATATAAATGGTATAAGATTTTGGGTAGCCCTGTATGGGTATGCTGTATATGAGGACTTAGTGTACGCTTCCATAAAAAGAAAATTTAAGTTATAATTAGTACTCAATGGATATATGAGGGATTAGGTTCTGCCTCAATATAAATATTTATATATTATGGTTAACACTGTATTTGTATAAAAGGGCTTAGTGTACGCCTCTATATAAAAGTGTATGTATTATGGTTAGCACTGTATTTGTAAATGAGGGCTTAAGGTTCTGCCTCTATATAAAAATGTATAAATTTGAGTTAGCACAGTATGGGTATATGAGGGCTTAGGTTCTGCCTCTATATAAAAATGTATAATTAATATTAAGCACAGTATAGGTATATGAGGGCTTAGGTTCTGCCTCTATATAAAAGGTATAAATTAGTTAGCACTGTATGGGTATATGAGGGCTTAGGGTCTGCCTCTATATAAAAATTATATGAATTGTAGTTAGTACTGTATGATTATGTGAGGGCTTAGGTTCTGCCTCTATATAAGAATGTATAGATTATGATTTGCCTATATGACCTTTAGTTGTTGGATAATTTTGCCTTTTAAAGAATTCTTTATATGCCGGACTTTCTAGTATTAATATTCTATGTGCTTATATCTTTTGCCTTGCGCTGTATTAGTAATATATCGGGCCTTTATGTGTTATATTTATGTGCTTATATCTTTTGCCTTGCGCTGTATTAGGAATATATCGGGCCTTTATGTGTTATATTTATGTGCTTATTTCTNTGGCTTTTTATAGTAAACCATGATAGATTGTTCTAGAACATTCTCGAAGCTGGTGCGCTTGTTTTTTGGCGCTGCTTGATAAATTATTCTAGAACTTTCTTGAGAAAAAAGTTCTCTGACTCACGTATTCGGTGCGTGCATCTTTTCTTCTAGCTGGTTCTAGAAGTTTTAGATGTTTCCACGATCTTTTACCCAGGATTGTTTAAACCTTGAATCTCGATAATTGATGATGTGTAAACAGGCTAGATAGTTCTCAGATCCAAGGCCAATTATATCTTTATCATCAATTATTAATTATACAGAGAAACATAGTTAGAATTAAAACTTGGGGTTTTACAGGGTTACCCACAAAGGATGAGTTTCAGTGTACAAAATGTCTGTTTTCTAATATTCCTGATTCCTTGCTAATGTAAACTTATTTATTACTTTGCTAAATCATAAAATAAACTATTAAAAGACTAAATTCAAGGCAGAAGACTAAAAACCTTGGGATCATCTTATATTTAAAGTCTTCTATATGCAGTCTCACTGGTTTTGGGTAATCATGTAAATACTTCATACAGAGGGGTATATGGATAAGACTTCAGAGACGACTGTACAAATCATTCTTATTCTTTTTTCTCTTCTTTCTCACATTCTTGGGTTCTGGAAACTTATTTTCTAAATTAGTTACTTATTAGCTTGTTGAGGTCGTCATTAATGTAACTTCCTGTGCGGGTAAACCTGTATTGTAATGTATACTCATCATAGGATGGACATTGGGCAATGGACAACCATTGTAAACTATGAACAATGTTATTAAGTTTAAATGAATTTTAAGTGTTTTGTCACAAACTTGGGTTTTCTAATCCCTATATATTTGCAACCTGTAGATCTTATATATTTTAAACTATGAATCCTGTGAGATTAAATAATCTACTAAAATATCAAAGGTTTAAGGATTACTAAAGTTGAGTTTATGGCAAAGACTCAGTTCCTTTAGCAACTTTACTAAAAAGTGTTTTCTACAGCAATATTAATAATCAGTGCAAAGGATCTGCATGATTTTGGCTTCCTGGACCTGGATCTGCAATAATATGTGGATCCAAGGATCCAGATTCAACCCGAAACTGCAACAACAAAATGTACTCTCAAAATCCAAATCTAAACTGTTAATCATAAAAACTTCCCGATCTCTCAATAGTTTATCAAGTCTTAGGTATAAAATAAAGAAACATACAATATGAAAATTCCGCTATGTTAAGAAAATTCAGTAAACATATCAATATAGGATCTAGCTAAGGATAACACTTTAAAAATGTTACACTTATTTGTAATGAAGAGGCAGCATCTGACGCAGTTTAATTTTGATGTGTTCCAGGGGAGAAAGTAAGATCTGTTGAAGATATTCGTAGATTTTTTAAAATCTTGAAGCAGCTGATTTCTAAATGTAAAGCCTCACGTGGTCTGGTAAAGGAGACATTATCAGCAGCGTTGAACGGTCCCCTTCTCAACCACATTAATGGACCCATCAAGGTAAAATACTCCCTTCTCAACCACATTAATGAACCCATCAAGGTAAAATACTCCCTTCTCAACCACATTAATGAACCCATCAAGGTAAAATACTCCCTTCCCAACCACATTAATGGACCCATCAAGGTAAAATACTCCCTTCTCAACCACATTAATGGACCCATCAAGGTANCCACTCCCCATCTAAAACTTTCACCAAATCCCCACCCTACAACCACCGCACCACACTTCCCCTTTCAATAATTTTTTGATTTGATACTCCAGGATGATTCATTATTGGGCTTTGTTTTGATTGTAATGTTATCTGTTAGATATTGATTGAACATTTATTATTTTAATTTGAGTCATCAAATATCTTCAGAAGCAAACCTGGCAGTGCTGATTATAGAATTTTTTCAATCAGTAATATAAAAATAAAAATATTCGTGTTATTTTTAATTTGTGTTTTAAATTTTTGGGTTTCTATTACTAGCGAGGGGCGCATATTTTTCAAACCCCTCACCGCCCTCTCTGAAAAATAATTTTTGTCCAATTTGATAGAATTGGTTTAAATCAGAAAACACATAAAATTCTAGGTATTGTTTAAAAAGGCTAAAATTCTTTAGTTATTATAGCTTTGTTTGAATATAGACAATAGGGGCGGACATAAAGATTCCCAATTACCTATAAATTGATATACGGCATGTAAAACTTATAGTAAGATGACCCATAATGTGACATCTGGCTAATAGCGCGCCGGTCAGAATGCTCAAAGTCAATTTTGACCACGGAAATGAATTCCATGCCCCAATTTTTCTGTAGTTTGATATATCGCTTGCTACTTTTGTTCTGAATTAGTCCAACTCAAATTAAAAATATTTATTTTTTATTTTTTCTTAAATGCGTGCGCGCGGGGACTTGAGGCACCAGAGCGCAAATTTTTCAGGGATTTCTTGTTTAATCGCGTCTTGATGCAATTTTTTAACAAAAAGCGCGCGCGCGCACATTTGTTCCGATCTTTTTGAAATTGCATTTTGCAGTTACAATACATATTAGTGAGTTACCATGCAAACAATCAGCGTCCAATGACAATGCTTAGTTATGTTTAACCAAGGTTTAAATTTTCCGGAGAGTAATAGGACTTTTTTTAACTTTTGTTTTCAAATCTGGTAAACCACTTACAGATTAAAACATCTCTCATTTTCACCATTGGCGTTTGAGATTTCAGTGTGTTTAACAGGATCCAGATCCAGGAAGCCAAATTGCTACGGATTCAATCTGAATTTCCGAGAATTTCTGGGATTTCTCAGACATGTATCAAGTTTTCCATAGAAACTCATTTTCTGTTAGAGGTTATCAAGAAAGAGTCTCGCGCAATCCTTTCTGCCAAATTGAAGTCTAAGCAGAGACAAAAGATGAATTACTGATTTTTTTTGAGGAAACATATTCTTATTTAAGTTTGAATCTTGTGTTTGTTTAGGAGTACATGGAGAGACTGTACACAGATGAGGATAAGAGTAATGTACTGCAATTGTTTGTAAATATTACAGATTTGGTTCCCCAACATATGGGGCAAGTTGTTAGACTGCTTAAGGTAAACCCATATATCTATTTGTAAAAAAAAAATTTGGAAATACTGCATCGAGAAAAGGGAATTAGGAAAAAAAAATTGTTATTCTTATTACAAATTTTGTTATGTTGGAAAGAAATCGCCCTTTAATTTAATTTCTAACTAAACCATATATCTACAATACCCTCCCCATCCCTCATGTTCAGATTAGATACATTCCTCCCCCTTTCTAAAAAAAATCAACACACAGTAGGGTGAATAAAATGTTTTCTTCCATAAATTGTTCATGTTGTTTGATACCAAAGAATATTTTAGAATTGTCATATGGCGTCATATTTCAGTAAAATTGATCTTAAAGTAATACATTTTTGAAAAAGATATTGTTTTACAAAATAAACAGCATAAAGTCTAAAATATCTAATATAGTTTATGGTAAAAGACATTCAGAACTACAGGGTGTCCCAATAAACATGGGAATTCAGTGACGAATTTGATATCGTTTTTTCAAATAATTCTTTGATTTAGTATAGTGATACCTACTGAGAAAGCTGTAATCTGTAAGAGTTTCGTCTGCTATGTCCAAATTTTGTTTGTTTATGTTAATTGACTGCATAAGGGTGTACTTAGTAAAACAAGAAAATTGCAGTATACAAACAGAGTAAACTTGTCCGTCTTCACTGTTCATCTTTCGGAGACATTATAGACACATCTTTGCAGTCTTTTACCCTTTTCATAAAATAATATTATGGCCTTAGACATCAGGTATTACACTGCTAATTCATAACAAAGACGATATCGAATTCGTCCTGAATTCCAATGTTTATTGGGACACCCTGTATTTGACTGTTATGTATTTAATATTTTTGTAACAGGTTTGGTCTGTTGATGAGAATGAAGTAAACCATTTTGAGCACGCTATGCTGCAGAATATGATGAAGATGTTGAAGAACCTGAGCATGAACTACTTGAAGCAGGTGGGCGGGGGTATCGAGGTTGACCTGCTGGACTACCAGGAACTCCCTCTCATCCCAACCAGGGAGGAGCTCGTCAACTTCTCCAACAATCCTGTTCAGGTTTGTTAATTCAAGACTTTTATTTTTGATAAGCTTATTACTTATTTTTGATAAATTACAATAAAAGGAATAAAAAGGTTTGGCGTTTTTTTTTGCTAACCAAATTTGGTTACTAACATACTGGTAACTAAACTAAAAGACAATTATTTTTTTTTATTAGATCCTGAAAATTTGCCTTGCAATCGAAATTAAAGAAAATAAATATTGCTCTGAAATATGGTTGACCATTAGCAGAGATAGCTTCTTTTCATTTTTCTGAATATCAGATTGTCAATTTTTATTGTTGTTAACAAACTTTTAATTATAAAAACTGTTGGTAATTAGTCACCTATTTGCCAGGTTACCAAATTGTTAGTTACCAATTTGTCAGGTTACCAAATTATTAGTTACCTATTTGCCAGGTTACCAAATTGTTAGTTACCAATTTGTCAGGTTACCAAATTGTTAGTTTCCCAATTTGTCAGGTTACCAAATTGTTAGTTACCAATTTGTCAGGTAACCAGATTGTTAGTTACCAATTTGTCAGGTTACCAAATTGTTAGTTACCAATTTGTCAGGTAACCAGATTATTAGTTACCAATTTGTCAGGTAACCAGATTATTAGTTACCAATTTGCCAGGATACCAAATTGTTAATTTTCCAGTTACTATGTTTTTAACAATTCCTAAGCTTTTAGAAACAATGGATGAGTATTTATTCCTGAGGTTTTCTTGAAATATCTTTTATTTTTCAACCCTTTGAAATGAACCTTTCTCCTACTTTCATTTTCTACTTCATTAGTTAGGGACCTAAATAAATGATATTCAGGGTAAACAGATGCATTTCTGAGTCAAAAGTTAATATTTAGAAAGAATTTGTCCCTTTACGGACTAGAGTAGGGTATAGTAGTGTAGAGGAGTACATGATTAATATTTAGACAGGATTACTCCCAGTACGGACTAGAGTAGAGTATAGTAGTGTAGAGGAGTACATGACTATTATTTAGAAAGGATTACTCCCAGTTCGGACTGAAGTAGGGTATAGTAGTGTAGAGGAGTACATGATTAATATTTAGACAGGATTACTCCCAGTACGGACTAGAGTAGAGTATAGTAGTGTAGAGGAGTACATGATTAATATTTAGACAGGATTACTCCCAGTACAGACTGGAGTAGGGTATAGTAGTGTAGAGGAGTATATGATTAATATTTAGACATGATTACTCCCAGTACAGACTGGAGTAGCATATAGTAGTGAAGAGGTGTACATGATTAATATTTAGACAGGATTACTTCCATTACGGACTTGAGTAGGCTATAGTAGTGTAGAGGGGTACATGATTATTATTTAGACAGAATTACTCCCAGTACAGACTAGAGTAGGATATAGTAGTGTAGAGGAGTACATGAATATTTAGACAGGATTACTCCCAGTACAGACTGGAGTAGGGTATAGTAGTGTAGAGGAGTAAATGATTAATATTTAGACAGGATTACTCCCAGTACGGACTAGAGTAGGGTATAGTAGTGAAGAGGAGTATATGGAGACCTACACCAGACTACAGAGAACGGATGGGTTCCATACACTCTGTGTAGGAATACAGTAAGTAAATTAGTCATATTTAGTTTTTATTTTGTTGTTGTTATAAAAACTTGTTTTTTAGAGAAGTATTTATGATAACGATTAGAGATTATACAATAAAAATAACTGTAATTTTACTCTAAGCAAGTAACTTCTTTTGAATAGAATTGCATTCCTGATTTAACTGTCCCTTTAATTAAAGAGAATTGCATCCCTGATTTTCACTGTTTCTTTAATGAAAGAGGATTGCATCCCTGATTTTCACTGTCCCTTTAATTAAAGAGAATTGCATCCCTGATTTTAGCTGTCCCTTTAATTAAAGAGAATTGCATCCCTGATTTCACTGTCCCTTTAATTAAAGAGAATCGCATCCCTGATTTACAACGGTTTCCTTTAAAACTGAGTCTTTACAAAAAGGTATCTTAGATAAGCTACAGAGAAAAGTAAGGAAATTATCAAAATTCAGCACTTTAAGGAGATCTATCTATCTATCAACGTTGCTCAGTTAAACATGTAAAGGGCACCGTTGTGAATCGGAAATGCCTTTTTGATGGGTCACTTACAATTACAATTACAATTACAGTCCCTTTTTGAGGGTCACTTACAATTACATTTACAGTCCCTTACAGATGGGTCACAACTAAGCAAATATTTGGTGCATAGGAAGTTCCTGAAGGGTGAGCTGGATCACCGTGAACTGAAGGTTTACAATATTGTTCAATTCCGAGGTCTCACACTGTCCAAGTCCTCCAGGATATCCTTAGCCCTTGAAGTACAACCTTTGATGAAAGTCAAGGTTAGGTTCAATATCTTCCCCAATTCCATTAATTTATTTCTTTTACAAGTAAAATTATATCTAATTTGCAAAATTATATCTAATTTGCAAAATTATATCTAATTTGCTAAATTATATCTAGTTTTGCAAAATTATATCTAGTTTTGCAAAATTATATCTAATTTGCAAAATTATATCTAATTTGCAAAATTTTATCTAGTTTTGCAAAATTATATCTAATTTGCTAAATTATATCTAGTTTTGCTAAATTATATCTAGTTTTGCTAAATTATATCTAATTTGCTAAATTATATCTAGTTGTGCAAAATTATATCTAATTTGCAAAATTATATCTAATTTGCAAAATTAGATATAATTTGCAAAATTATATCTAGTTTTGCAAAATTATATCTAGTTTTGCAAAATTATATCTAGTTTTGCAAAATTATATCTAGTTTTGCAAAAGCCACTATTAAAAGTAATATACATAATAATAGAACTGAGTTTTTGTAACAAGTTCTGATTTTCTAATTCTTATATCTTTGCAACATAATGTCATTCACCTATAAATTCTGTTACATCAAACAATCTAAGCTTGAAATATCAAGGCTTTTACACGTCAGGTTGCTAAGATAAAGGAATTATAAAGTTTGAGTTTGTGGCAACAACTCAATTTCTATAAAGTAGTAATCTCTGTTTGTTTGTTTGTTTGTATGTCCGAACATAACTCAGAAACCCCTTTTTTGATCTTCCTCAAATATTGGCTGGGGAAACTCGTTAACCGCGGGAATTTGTTTGCTTCCAGACAAAGCTGGGTTTTCAATACAGGAACCCCTTGACCTACTTTGATTGGAAAACTATTTAACCACAAAATATTTATAGATTTCAGACAAAGCTGGGTTTATAGTATATATAAAAAGTAGTTATCTTTGTTTGTTTTTGTTGTGTTATGTCCGATCATAACACATGAATCTCTTGACCGAATTGACTAAATTTTTTATTGGGAAACCATGAAATTTTTTGTTTTGCAAAGTTGGGCGCCTAAGCTAGTTGAGTAAGAACACGAACAAATAAATGCTTTAAAGTGCAAACATGGTAGAAGATGAAATATCTAGGATCTGAGTATCTCCCGTCACCTAATGACAGGAAACCTGTTGTGTATCACCGTCAAGGGGGACTTCTCCGACCCGGTGTGGCCCAAGGTCTCCGTCCGGCACACAGAGACCTTGAAGAGGGAGAACACTATTCTGGTGGAACTACTGACAGAGCACAACCAGGACTCAACCTTCTCCATCATGAGACGGTTACTAGGGAACGATGGCAAGGCAATGATGGCGGAGTCTCCGTCCTTCTATACGTCCTTTGGTCCTGTTCTCTCAGCTCTGCAGAAATATGAGATTAAAAGTTTAGAACTGAAAGATATTATTGTCAGGTAAACATATTTTTACTATTTAATATTCTATTGTTTAAAACATAATTAAAGTTAAAAAAGATTGGTTTGTCCGATCCCAACTGTTCCCTTTAAACCTTTGTTTGATTAAGGGTGAATACGATGTTCTTATTTTCCAGCTAAGGAAATGTATAATTGATGGTTTTCAGAAAAAAGTAGCGGATTTATTTTGTGGGGAGAAGAAAATTAACAGAATTCGACACTTATTTTGGATAGAAACGATATCTTCCTTTTTTTTACTCATGGTAGATTTAATTGTATATTTTTGTACCTGGTTATTGACTACTTCTAACTGGATTTAATTGTATATTTTTGTACCTGGTTATTGACTACTTCTAACTGGATTTAATTGTATATTTTTGTACCTGGTCATTGACTACTTCTAACTGGATTCCTTCAACATATTCCATTATTAACACATATTAAATTAATACATCAGTTTATAGCCGTAACTGTATGTTTGGCTAAAATATTAAATGTTATGCTTCCAATGAATATTTTTGATAGGTGTGAAAGAGATACTACTGGGCCCGAATATCTTATTGAGAACAGAATAAACCTGACAAGATTTGTACCTTCGTTGATACCTACTGAGAACCCCAAATACAAGGTAATAATGTTCATATCTTAGTTTCAGGTCGATATTGTAGACTCATCTTTTGTGAATAGTCAATGGTCATGTATCAGCTCTCTACGTCTTAAGATCCAAAATGGGAAAAATTGAAAGTTCTGACAAGTTTGAATCAAATGTTGTTCAAAAAAGTTTTTTTGAAGAAATATCTTTGAGATGGTTGGGTATATTATTCCAAGATAATGGAAGGAATAAAAAGGAAAACGCTTTAAAAACAATACTGATGAGGACGGGTTTCAGAGGCTGCAGGAGTGTAGTAGAATATATATTGACGAGGATGGAAAGGAAACTGCTTCAGTTCATGACTTTCTTGATATATTGGACACTGTTCCAACACTAGATTCATCACAGAAGCAGGTATTATTCCTACCTTTCCTACCTGTCCTACCTGCCCTACCTGTCCTTCCTATACTACCTATACTACCTGTACTACCTGTCCTACCTTTCCTACCTTTCCTGCCTTTCTTACCTGTCCTACCTGTCCTACCTGTTCTACTTGTCCTACCTGTCCTACCTTTCCTACATGTCCTACCTTTCCTACCTGTCCTACCTATTCTACCTGTCCTACCTTTTCTACCTTTCCTGCCTTTCTTACCTGTCCTACCATTCCTACCTGTCCTACCTGTTCTACTTGTCCTACCTGTTCTACTTGTCCTACCTTTCCTACCTGTCCTACCTGCCCTGCCTGTCCTACCTGCCCTGCCTGTCCTACCTTTCCTACCTACCTGTCCTACCTGTTCTACCTGCCCTGCCTGTCCTACCTGTACTAACTATACTACCTGTACTACCTATCCTACCTTTTCTACCTTTCCTACCTGTCCTACCTGTCCTACCTGTACTACCTATACTACCTGTACTACCTGTCCTACCTTTTCTACCTTTCCTACCTGTATTGCCTTTCTTACCTTTCTTACCTTTCCTACATGTCCTACCTTTCCTGCTTTTCTTACCTGTCCTACCTTTCTTACCTTTCCTTAAAGGGAGTGTTCACGAAAAATGAAAGGGGTATAAAATGCGATAAAAAAGCGCTTTTGATCGCTACAAATCTTACTTCTATCTGCTGCGTCAATCAGGAGAAAATTGTTAAAAACGACTTATACCGAAGAAAGTAGTGTCCATTGAAATTTAGAAAGATGCAACATTCAACTCGGATCGTAAAAAAATTTATTTAATTCCAAACAAATCATTCAGATATTACAACCTATAGTCATCGATTATTTTTCGACGCATTCGTAAATAGTTGATATTTCATAACATTTGTATTTTTCATGATCTGAGAGTTACATTTTTTCCTGTTTCGAGAATTTTTGATAATGAAGACGACATTTTCATATTTTCCAGGAATGTTCGAAAATCCAGCGCCAGTGAAAATTAATTTAAAAAAACAAAATCAAAAANAGAGTACACACTCCTTGACAGTGCAGAGTACACACTCCTTGACAGTGTAGAGTACACACTCCTTGACAGTGTACACACTCCTTGACAGTGTAGAGTACACACTACTTGACAGTGTAGAGTACACACTCCTTGACAGTGTATACAAAACAAGGAAATCTCTGACATTAATGATCAGACTAATGGTGAATCGGACATGTCACTCTATAAATTTAGGGTTCCTTGTTATTACGTCTGCAGAATCTTTGATAAATATTCCCTCTAAATTTTATTTTTATCTCTAGGGTATTCGTCACGTTTTGACCAACAAGGTTGGAATAATCCAAGGTCCCCCTGGAGCCGGGAAATCATATCTCGGAACCAAACTGGCAGAGATCCTGCTGAACCTGGAGAAACCCTCGACTCGTCCCATTGTTGTGATCACGTACAAGAACCATGCTCTGGATGAGTTTCTCAAAGGACTGCTGGAGAATGGAATCTGTAGTTTAGATGAAATGTGCAGGTCTGTAGTAGTGTAGATCTGTAAATCATGAAAATTTCTTCAAAAGAATATTCTTATATATATATTCTGATTTTGTAATTACTTAGTCTTACCCATTGTCGTAGACCTTAGATATTTCAAGTTATGAATTCTGTTAGATCAAATAATCTAAGTTTGAAATATCAAGGGTTTACACCATCAGGTTGCAAAAGTATAGGGGTTAGAAAATCGATTTTGTGTCAAAGACTCAATTCCTTTATAATTCTCTAATAATAACTATCGCAGAATAGACACGTCCCTGCTTTGTAATAGAGGGTTTGAATAAACACCCCATATTGCAAACAGACTTGAGCACATTTTCTTCAGAAACATAATGGAGGAAATTGTATAGAAATAAAACGACGATATCGCATTTTTGATAAGATAAAGGTTTAAATGGTAGCGTTGTGAATCGGGAATTTTTTTTTTTTAAATGAAAGATCACTTGAAGTTTTAACATCAGTCCTTTCAAATTAAATCCATATCACATTGTGTTGACTGTTCTACTCAAGAATGGTTTACTAATTGACGCCGTGTAGAATTACGCCACGCTACATTCTCATGTTTATAGGGACATGTTTATAGGGACATGTTTATAGGGACATGTTTAGAGGGACATGTTTAGAGGGACACCCTGTATTCTTGGTTATTTCAGAGTTGGTGGAGGATCTAAAGAACCTGAGCTAGAGAGCTGTAATATGTTCAAGGTTATGGGTCGAGGCCGGGCTAAAGACATGGAGGCTGCCAACACACACAGGGATATCATGGAGACCAACGACCTCATTGGAGAACTCTGCTCCGAGCTGAAGGTTGCTGTTCAAGAACATGGAGCTGATCTTGGACTTAAACTTCAAGATATTGTAAACTGTTTGGATGAAGAACAGTTAGTTAGATTTCTAATCCACGAGGAGAACAATCAGGAGAAACTGAAGAAAAATATCGAAACTGCAATTTTTGACTGCCAAGGGGGAAGTCTTCATGATATATGCAATGGTAAGAAATACAATAATTCAGTTCTAACTGGTTTAGTTCTAACTTAAACCTCTTAGTTCATAATTTGATTTTATAAGGGTAAGACAAGTTATGAATTAGTGAATATGCTTCCTTGATAACCCTTTAAGAGACTCCGGGACTTTAAGCATTTTTTCTAATGACCCTTCACGCAAGCATAACAATATTTGTGGTTTCTATACACATGCACATTTCTACGACTCAAAGAAGTTCGTAGTAAGATTTTGATTCTACTGGAGACCACCAGAGGGATTTTATTTTCAGTGGAGGGGTTTGAAAAAATGCTTTTTACAATTTAAAACTTTACGCAGGATGATTTACATTCCACTGGAGGGATTCAGATATCTTTCCAGGGGGTTATACTTCCACTGGAGGGATTCATTTATCCTTCCAGGGGGTTTATAATTCCACTGGAGGGATTCAGATATCCTTCCAAGGGGGTTATAATTCCAATGGAGGGATTCAGATATCTTCTCTAGGGGTTTTTAATTCCACTGGCGGGATTCAGTTATCCTTCCTAGGGGTTTATAATTCCACTGGAGGGATTCAGATATCTCTCCTAGGGGTTTATAATTCCACTGGAGGGATTCGGTTATCCTTCCAAGGGGGTTATAATTCCACTGAAGGGATTCAGATATCTTCCCTAGGGGTTTTTAGTTCCAATGGAGGGATTCAGATATCTTCTCTAGGGGTTTATAATTCCACTTGGGGGATTCAGTTATCCTTCCTAGGGGTTTATAATTCCACTGGAGGGATTCAGATATCATTCCTGGGGGTTATAATTCCACTGGAGGGATTCAGTTATCCTTCCAAGAGGGTTATAATTCCACTGGAGGGATTCAGACATCCTTTCTAGGGGTTTATAATTCCACTGGAGGGATTCAGATATCCTTCCTGAGGGGTTATAATTCCAGTTCAAGGATTCAGTTATCCTTCCTAGGGGTTTATAATTCCACTGAAGGGATTCAGATATCATTCCTGGGAGGATATAATTCCACATTCCACTGGAGGGATTCAGATATCCTTCCAAGTGGTTTGAAATTCCACTGGAGGGATTCAGTTATCCCTCCTGGGGGTTTATAATTCCAATGGAGGAATTCAGATATCTTTCCAAGGGGTTTATAATTCCACTGGAGGGATTCATATGTCCTTCCTGGAGGAATATAATTCCACTGGAGGGATTCAGATATCATTCCTGGGGGTTATAATTCCACTGGAGGGATTCAGATTTCCGTCCTGGGGGATTATAATTCCACAGGAGGGATTAAGTTTTCCTTCCAAGGGGTTAATAGTTCCACTGGAGGGATTCAGAGAATTCAGATGTCCTTCCTGGGGTGTTATAATTCCCTTGGAGGGATTCAGTTATAATTAATTCCCCTGGAAAAATATCTGAGTCCCTCCAATAGAACTACAAACCCATAGGAAGGATATCTAAATACCTCCAGTGGAATTATAAACCCCCTGTAAAGATATCTGAATCCCTCCAGTGGAATTTTAAACCCCCAAGAAGGATATCTGATCTCCTCCAGTGGAATTATAAACCCCTTGGAAGGATATCTGAATCCCTCCAGTGGAATTATAAACCCCTTGGAAGGATATCTGAATCCCTCCAGTGAAATTATAAGCCTCTAGAAAGGATAACTGAATCCCTCCAGTGGAATTATAAACCCTCTGGAAAGATACACCAAGGAAGGATAACTGAATCCCACTGGTGGAATTATAAACCCCCTGGAAAGATATCTGAATCCCTCCAGTGGAATTATGAACCCCTAGAAAGGATATCTGAATCCCTCCAGTGGAATTATAAGCCTCTAGAAAGGATAACTGAATCCCTCCAGTGGAATTATAAACCCCCAGGAAGGATATCTGAATCCCTCCAGTGGAATTATAACCCCCCTGGAAAGATATCTGAATCCCTCCAGTGGAATGTAAATCACCCAGCGTAAAGTTTTAAATTGTAAAAAGCATTTTTTCAAAACCCTCCAGTGCAAATGAATCTCTTCCGGTGGTCTCCAGTGGAATCAAAATCTTACTACGAACTTCCCTGAGTCCATTTCTACTGCATAACGAAATTATCAAAATTAATCACGCTTAATCGACAGTAGGTTTAAGGGTACCGTTGTGAATCGGGCATTGCCAATTGGCATCTTTGCATGGAGGGTCACTGGAAATTACGCTTACAGTCCCTTTAAGAGGACTAACTATCCCACATTCAACACTTGTTACGCGAGCCATGCTGCGTTCATAAAGTCTATGTGATGCCCCTGTGAATCTCTGAGTTCTCCCTGAGGATCTGTACAGAACGTATTGTAAAAAACTAGTTTTAGAAGCTGTTTCCAGTCCGACTACGCATGCGCAAGTTTTCTGCGTGGAAGCGGGCAGATTCTACCTTAGTATATATTCGTGTTTCATGTAAAGATCGTCTATTATTAAAACCGTGTGAAATGCTAGGATCACTGCGGTAATTATGCTTATATTTATATGAATCTTGCTTATTTATGTTCGGTTATGGTTGATATCTTATAATGTAATGTATTGGTTCCTTGCCACAGTTTTTTAATGCCTGAGTTGATTTATTGCTGTGCTTGTATGATTTATCACTCAATGCTTTTTCTGTGGGCTTATAAAAATTATTTAGATTGAAGACTCAGAGAAATAAACGTTCGGAACCTTATTATCATCCTTTTGTTATGGAGAGCGTTGAGAGAAGGAAGTCTTACAATCCTGTCCAGAGAAATACCACTCGGTACTTATAAAGTTTCATTAGGTCTTTAGGGAAATCGCTAAGTAGCGAAACATTCAATCGCAACCTTATAGGGTACCGGTTAATTTATAAAGTTTGAGCAAAAAGTTTCTCGTTGCCGCTATATTGCCTGAATTGGAAAATATACGGACTGACGTAGGAACAAGCTTACAAGGAAGCTTTATTAAATTGAGATCTTTCAACAGTCCTAACTCTTATCATTTATTAGATTTATATCTAGTAAATTGAGGAGGGACGTCTAATTGAATTTACAAACTGGATTCGTTTCTCGTTGTCAGTATATTGGCCAAATTGGAAAAATATAGTGAAGGACCGAGCGAACAAATTCTAAGTTATGAAATTGGATGTTAATGGAATGTTCATAATTGGATGATTGGATGAAAGCAGTATACC